ATACACATGAAGTGTGAGATGCATGGAGATTATATTACTTTGAAAAATATTATGTGATGGTTTTCATAGAGAAAAATGAAATTTTAGTCATGTATGTTTTACTATAACTTTTTCTTCCCATTTGAATTATTGTTTTAATTTTCGTCCCCTATGTTTGTAAAAAAAGTTACAAAACGTCCCCGAGCATGCATAAAGGATGAAATTTCAACCTTTTTGCAATTTTGAAGGGACTTGTTTGTTGCTTAAAAGGACATTTTTGTAACCTTATTATGAATACAAGAGACGAAATTCAAAGCAACAATTCAAATGGGACCAAAAAGTTATGGTTTATAACATACAAGACAAAAATTGCAATTTTCTCGATTTTTAAACTTAGGTTCATGAAATGATTGTACATGCATGCAAGTTGATTGAGGTCCTGCAAACAAATTCATTGTAAACATGTAATTTGGTGACGAGAAAATTAAGAGTGCTATGTTTGATAAATTAAAATAATTACCATCAATTAATTATTAATTTTGATAAATGGTCACTCCTTGTAAAAAAAATTGTTATAAAAGATGTAATTTAGTTGCTATATCATAATAACTGGGGTTTTTAGGGACAGTAAATTAAATTTGTACAGTTTCGTAAAAGATTTAGAAAATTATCATTTATCACACACCAAAATATTATCATATGAGTATGATTTAGTGATAAAATTAATACCGTCATAAAAACTATTTCATAGTAACAAGTAAAATTTGTTTTATCAACAAATTGATGAGTTTTCAATAACATTAGTTGGAGAAATGAATGAAAATAGGAAGGTTTGAAAATAACAAATCTACTAGTACAATAACCGTGTATTACACGGGTGTTGAATTAGACAGCTTTTATAAAAAATATTAAAAATTTTATTTTTTTAAAAACTAAAATAATTTAAATTTATATAAAACATTACTTTGAGTTTTAATTAAATTGTCAAATTATATTTTTATAATCATAATAATTAAACACCCGTACATTAAATGAACATGTCAACCCGTGTTGACTTTTTTTAATTATATCATATAAAAAATATCAGTATTATTTACTATTAAATAAGTACAAAAATATATATCTTATATAAATAGAAATAATATGGTGATATGTATATGCATAAGTGTAGAATATATTTATTTAATATTAACCAGAATAGATTAATTTTTTTACTTAATTAGATGCCTAATACACCAAGTGTCGTATCAGTCGTGCTTCACAGTTTTTTAACTTTATATATAATTTTAGAATTTAGTAAATAATTATTTATTTTTATTAGATTGACAACATACCAATTAGATTTGAAATATATATTATTTTTAAAAGAATACCTACCAATTTCTATTACTTTATAATATAATTTATAGTTTTATTTGATATAATTTAATTTAATTTAATAAATAAATTTAAATTTTATTTATAAGTATATATATTACTGATTTGTATTTTATATATATAATATGGATGTCAAATTAAAAATCGTTAAAAGATAGTTAATTTGATATATCATATATGAAAAATAAAATACAAACAAAAAAGTTATAAAATCTTAAAATAAGAAGAAGAAACATTTATAAAAACTATGTGATAAAAAATATTAATTTATATCCAAGTCTAACTCCAAAGCATGATTTTATTACCAAATAGGATTTCGAAGCATGAAAGTTTGTCACGTAGGCTCAGCGCATTCTGAAATTATATATAGAGAGGATGTGTATTATTATGTATTATAGGCAAATAATTTATGCAAAAATAATTCTTTTTTCGCTCTTTTTTTTAAGATATAAACCGTAATATTTTGCATTAATTAAGTAATTGTATATTTTATCTATTTCTTACATAAAAGTTACTACCAGTTAAGTATAAATCACACTAAATGATAAATGGAAGTTATAGACATATAAACAAATGTATTGCCTTTTTTTCGAACTATATATTATAAATCATTATTATTATTTTAAGCTCACTAAGCAATTTTTATTAAAAGTAGTTAAATATTTTTCTATGGCTTAACAAAACACCTTAAAACTCCGCAAACAATTGCTATAGTAACAATTGTAAGATTTATACAATGTGATATTATATGCTCATTTAATTTATAATTTTTTATTTAAATTTATGCAAGTGCATAGAATTCCCCTATATACAATTTCAGAATGAGCTGAGCCTAAATGGCAGGCTCGCGCAGTTCGGAATCCTACTTGGCAAAAAATCACGCTTCGTAATTTTGTTTGGAAGAAAAATAATGTTATTTTAAATCAATAATTTTATGTTCGGACATTCAATAAATATTGAAAAGCTAACTTGATTAATTCCATAGTACTTTGACTAATATAACCTTTGATCTGTTTTGTAAACTTACTTATTGTTGTTTATATGATTGCTATATGAAATTTTATATATAATATATCAAATTAATAATGTCTTGATGAACTTTGGTTTGACATCTATATTCCACATATAGAATAATTAAATAATTTTATTTATATTTATAATTAAAAATAAATTATCTATTTATATTAATTCAAAGAAATATAACTATTTAAACTAACTTAACTACAAAGTAGTTATCTGATATAAATTAAAAAAATATATATTATAAGATGGTAAGTCGCGTAAGTGACGGTACCAATTAAAAAAGTATTTAAATCTAAAACAATTATTGTTATTATTATTATTATTATTTAATTTAAAATATAATTTTCTTAACAAGTAGCTATGTAGTATACGAGTATTGTATTAGTCCAATACTATTTAGGAAACATAGAATCATGATTCAAAGGATTTGCTTATTTGGTCTTCAAGACAATTGTGACACTTTTGATGACTTCGGATTGTCTTTTTGGAATCTAAAGTTGGTCTATCATTTCGACAAGAAAAAAAAAAAATAAATAAATAAAAAATAATAATAATAATAAAATAAAATCTAAAGTTGGAAAGTTCAACAACAAAGCAATGTTATTATAATAAATATTTTTTTAACTTTATATTATGACCTTTTATTAGTTACGATTATTAACTTAAATATAAAGAGTAGTACACTGCATTAGTGGACGAATTGTAGCTTGTAATATAATATTTTATAAAGTTGTATTTTTTTTTATTCATTTTCACTTAATAATATCATTACTTATATGTTATATCATGTGGCTGCATGCTCTTTAGGACTCTATTTGCTTGTTTGTGAATTGATTCTAAATTAGCGAATTCAGTATTATTTAGAGGATTGTCTAATCAAATATGGTAATCAATTTGTTTGGTGAGAGTTTTTTTAATTAACTTTTTTGTCTAATCAAATATGGTAATCAATTTGTGTGGTGAGAGTTTTTTTAATTAACTTTTCTTTTTCTTGGGATTCATTACGCTAATTAAAAAGAAACAAAAACTCAATACTCAAAAATGCTTCATCAATTAGCAATGCTTCATTTTTGAGTATTGAGCATATAGCCAAAAACTTTACATTTTTCCCTTTTTCTTTTCATCTAACTAGTGTGTAACCCGTGCTATGCACGAGTAAATAATACTAATAATAATTATACATTAAAATGAGGATAAACAATATTAACTATAGTTATAAATTAAATATGTGGGGTTACATGTGATAAAATTTACGGTATATAGTCTATTGTAACAATATAAAATTATCTTGTATAAAGAACATAAAAAAATTTATGTCTAAAATATCAAAATTGAGAGAAGATTTACATATTATATATAAAATAAATATTGAGATGATACCGAAAATTATTTCATCATCAATTTGAGTATAAAATAAACGGAGGCTTAATAACTCCATGCTTTATGCATATGCTTCATTTATCAATTTTATATAATAAATTTAAAATCTCATTATTAAAATTTTTATTCAAACGTATAAAATAAACTGATGCTTAACAATTCCATGCTGCATACTCTTCATTTATCAATTTTATGTAATTATTTTAAAACCTCGTTGTTATTAAGATTTTTATTCAAACACGTATCAACAAAGTACACATCTTTGGGATTTGTGAAAGGAATTCGTATTTATTTGTTTTTATTATCAATGCAAACTTATAGAGAGTTTTTGTTCTTAACAAACTCTACAGTTGTAATTAAATCATATTATTCCAATTTGAATTTCATGATGGTTTTAAAATCTGTATACGTGGTCATAATCTATATAAAGTAAACAATCACCATAATTTCAGAAATCAGTATTTATCAGTTTTTTAAAATCAATGCAAATTGCTTGATAGTTTTTTTCTAAGAAACTCCTACAGTTCTAATTAAATTATATTATTCAATTCAATTTGAGTGCGAATTTAAAGTTTCAATTTGAAAATGAATTTAAAAATTTGTACACGTGTTGATAGTCTTTCAAGTAAACATAGTCCCGCCATTTTTTTTTTCTATTATTAAGTTTTTGATTCCAACAAATGATGTGGTGAAGATTTATTAAGTGAGTACCTATGATGTATGGACTAATATCCAATGTTGTAGCATACTCTTTTTTTAATTGTATAAATATAATTTTGATTTTTTTTTTCCTGATTGCATGGACGGTATTTATAATTAGTGCAAGTTAATTAAATGAAGTTCACTTTTTAATAAAATTCATTTATGTTTTTTTTTTACTAAAATGAATGATGCAAACTCGTACCATTTTAAATTCTCCACAATTTGAATAAGAACTCCTTAACTTTTGAATACTGCTTAATTTCATGTCTATCATTATTTATGCAGACAATTTTGTAGGAAAGTTATTAGGAAATTGTTAACATTTGAATTTGAATTAAAGATTTGCATGAAAATTATTAGAAAATTGTTAACAATTGAATTTGAATAAAGATTTTTTTTTTCTCTATAAATTTGTTAAAGCAACCATATTTTATTTAAACTTCTATCCCTTTCTTATTTAGAAATTTTGAAATTTATTTTACTTATTATATTTAGTAAATATAGTAATTCTTTTTATATAAGTACATATTTTTTTGTGTAAGTTCATGGAAGAAATATTTTTTTGAAAAAAGAATGTAATTAATGGTAATCACGTTAATTTACACGCCAGATTCGGATTTCCGAATTCCGATATAACCGTCTCTAATGTCATGCCACGCAATCGAACAGTGGGACCCCAAAAATTTAGCTGCCACGTAGGAGTGGGACCCGCTTGAAAATTATAGGGTCCTACCCGCAAGAGGTACAAATACGGTTTCTGAACCCCACGTGAGCTGTTATTAAAACTCTTTCTGGTAAGCTGTTTTGGCAGAGATACCATATTTTAATTTATTGATTCATTTATTTACTCTAGAAAAAAAAAAAAAGATTCATTTATTTATATTATTATTTGTATACCTTTAACATTTATTATACTTTAAATATCAATGTTTGTACAAGACCAAATGACCAATGAGATCTCCACCAGTATAAAATATTAAATGAAAGTTAAGAAAATAAAATCACGAGTCAGTCACCTATCATACCAAAAATATATTAAATTAGTGACTTCTCATGGGCTGGATGAGCAAAATCGAGCCAGAATCAAGAAGTCAAGTCAACCCGTGCAATTTGATTATGATTTTCTAGTTTGATTTTTTTGTAAAATTTTTATTGTCTTGTAATGCCATGATTATATGGTGAATTAAAATAAATAAAACTAATATATTCTCTTAATCAATAATAAACATATGTATTAAAAATCTTATTTATAATAATCTATATATCTATAATTGCTACAAACTTCAATAAATTTTATTCAGTCAACAATTAATAATCATTTAATAAAAATAGGTGTTCATTTAATAATAATAATTAACTTTCAGTTACACAATTTATTTTGACAAGTCCTATTTTGGATGGTGCCCATTTCTGTAACGTCTTTTTATGTCATGAAATACAAAATATTTTTGCAATACTTTTTTTGAATATTACAAAGATACATCGAATATTTTAAAAAATCAAATCCCAGAGTTAAGAGTCGAAGAAGTTTAATGATAATGATTTATTGTAATGGGGATTCTGATGATAGAAAAATCACGAACGTTGTATATAAAGAAGTGTTTAATAATATTTAGATTCACTTTTTTAAATTATTTTTTTCTTCTATATTTTTAATTACTTTTTCTTCTAACTTATATGATAAAAGTGTTTCGTAAAATTAGCTGATAAGCTATCTGAAATAAAAATTTCAACGAGTTTATTTAAAAAAATAATGCTACATAGCCAACTTGAATGACAACTTGAGTTACTAACTCATTTTTTTATTTAATCCAGCTGTATTCAAATCCATGGCTTAAATATTCGAACAAATATAGTAACAAATTGACAGGTCATGTTTAGGAATCTTCATAAAAACACAAAAGCAAAAGGATTTCTATATTACACTCTCATTTTACATAGTTAGAAATTAAATAAAAATGTTTCTCAAATAAACCATCATAATAGCAATATTCATGTATTATTGGTTGGGAATTAAATCACCTTCAGATTTTATCTTTTTATTTTTATTATATAATGAATATTAGTTATCCAAAAAATTAAGTACGCATATATTAATGTGCGTGACCAAATAGTAAGAAATCCAATAAAGACACTCACAAATAAGGTAAAATTTGCCAAATCATGGAATGGTTGGAATATCATAAAAAGATAGAATAATATTAATTGCATTTTTTTTATATTCATAATCAAATTCTGAAGAGGCAGCTGAGCTGGCGTTACACATAGCCACGTAGTGACACTCTTTAAAATTTCAAACATCTTATTAAATTTATTCATATAAATATCATATAAATATTAAACTACCTCCGAAAACATTCAAAATTCCCATTTAATTTATTCATGAAATCTGATTATTAATTCGCATAAATAAATGTCGGGGAAAACAGCGGAAAAAAAGCGACAATAATAAGGAAAAAGAGTTAAAAAAAAAAAGAAATTGCAAACAGTCCATAAATGAGCTACGTGGCAGCACGAGGGCCCGGAATAGATTATTTTAATCCGGAAAGTGACAGTTGTGCCATGCTGGCACCGGCTGATCTCATCCGTCGGATGAGGATCAGATCCTACGGAGGATGCGGCGTTCGAAGGCGAGCGAGAAATCTACGCCGTCCACACCGGCTCTGCAGTAGGTTTCGCGTGAGTGTTAATTAAAATAAAAATAAAAAATAAAAAGAATAAAAAGCTAAACAGATTATAGATGAGAGTCATCACTACTCATCAGACCTTGGAGAAAAACAGAGCACACAAGCGAGAGAGAGAGAGAGAGAGAGAGAGAGAGAGAGAGAGAGAGAGAGAGAGAGAGAGAGAGAGAGAGAGAGAGAGAGAGAGAGAGAGAGAGAGAGAGAGAGAGAGAGAGAGAGAGAGAGAGAGAGAGAGAGAGAGAGAGAGAGAGAGAGAGAGAGAGAGAGAGAGAGAGAGAGAGAGAGAGAGAGAGAGAGAGAGAGAGAGAGAGAGAGAGAGAGAGAGAGAGAGAGAGAGAGAGAGAGAGAGAGAGAGAGAGAGAGAGAGAGAGAGAGAGAGAGAGAGAGAGAGAGAGAGAGAGAGAGAGAGAGAGAGAGAGAGAGAGAGAGAGAGAGAGAGAGAGAGAGAGAGAGAGAGAGAGAGAGAGAGAGAGAGAGAGAGAGAGAGAGAGAGAGAGAGAGAGAGAGAGAGAGAGAGAGAGAGAGAGAGAGAGAGATTTTCAGCGAAAGTCAGTGCGAATCTCATAGCACCTTTTTGCTGTTATTGGGATTCTCATATTGTTTCTGTTCAATTTTTTCTCTGCCTTGAAATGGTGGATAAATCCGGAGGATTCATGTGATTTGAGCAGTGGATGGAGAGAAACAGAGATTTGCGGAGTGCTGGTTCGGCAGCAGACGGATGCCCGAGGAGGAGGAGAACAGTCATCACTGTCGGAGACTCAGCGAGTGATTATCTATCTGAATTCTGATCGTGATTTGTTTGGGTTAGTGCCTTTTTCCGGTGGTTTTTGTTGATCGTTTTTTGGCCTTCTTTGTTCTCAGACGACGATCGGAAGATGGAATTGAAGGAGACGGTGAGGTTCATAGATCGACAGCAGGTGTGGAGAATGGACCGGGATCGAGATTTATCCAAGAGGAGGAGGATTGAGAACAGGGCTGCGGTGCCGCAGAGGAACGGCGGCGGCGGCGGCGGTGGTGGAAGTTATAGAGAGGTCGTGAGCGTGGATTCGAGTGATGAAGAGTACTTTGAGGAGGAGGTGGAGACGAGGAATTATCTGCGGAATAGGACTAATCATCTACCGCCATCGCCTGGCCGTGTGGGTTTCAGCACTCTCCGGTCGTCGGCGATGCTCCGGGTCAACGTTGACGAGGTGTTCGGTGTGGCCGTACCCCGGCGAGCTCGCTCCGGTATGAAATTATTGTTAGAATATTTGCTCTTAGTTTTCCAATGTTATTTAACTTTTCCCCCTTAATTTTTTATAATTTCAGCGAAGAAGTTTGATGAGTATCGAAATTCAGGCAGCGGCAGATTCATGGAGGATTTGACCGGCCGGATTTTTCCTCCGTCTCCGGCAACGGCGACTCCCTTTGGTTCCGGCGGCCGGCCCACCTCATCTGGTGCCTCAATGATAAAGAAGATGGTTAGCTCTCGATTTTTCATTTTTTTTCTGGTTAAATTCTATTTTTTCCTCTTATATCATTCTGAATGAGCTCAAATTAGAAACCGTCTTCAACGATTCAAGACGCGATCGAAATCGAGGTGGCCGAAGCTCTGTTCGATCTGATGAAACAATCTCATTCTCAGTCACAGTCTCTGTCATCGGAAAGGCAAGAAAAAGTCGATAGAGATAGCACAGATAATAACAATGGTGATGATGGTAAGCTCATATGCTTCATTTTTCCACTGCCTTCTTTTAATGTGGAAAAAAAATGGGTTTCTCAATAAATGTGGATTTTGGTGGATACAGGTTCAGAGAAATTACAAGCTGTTCGAGGTAAAGATGAGATTGACGTTATTAAAGCTCAAAACGTTCAATCCATTAAAGGAGGAGGAGGGATTGAGAAAGAGAATTTTGCAGATGAAGCAGCTCAAGATGGGTGTGTGGATAGAGAGAAAGTGGGGTCTCTTGAGGAGAGAGAATCACCATCATGTGTTTCTAAAGTAAATGCTTGTGATATTCAGCATCTGACAGTGACAAAAGCGTGAGCATCCCAAATTTTTCAGTTCCCTTTTTTCTTTCTCTTCTTTTTACCTTTTTTTCTCCTCACTTTCTCTAAATTCTGTTAATATTAAAATTTTATTGTCATTTATGTAGTATTAGTTTATGTTGTTTCCCATTTGAATCCATTTTGAAAAGATTTCTAATAATATTTGTGGTGATGGGCCCAGGGATCATGAGGCGAGTGTGGTTGAGGTTGGGGCTAAGAAGGGCGACCGGATAGAGATTGATTTAATGGTGTGTGCACGATACAAATATTTCTATTTCATAATTGCTTTGTTTTAGTGGAATTCTGAAAAATGGTTGTGCTATATATGCAGGCCCTTCCATCTTTACCATCATCTCCGGAGATAAATGGTGTGCTCGATATCAATTCTGATGTTGCTACTGGGGATGTCGAGGCATGCCGATCTTTTTTATTTGCATTATTTGTTTGTGNCTGAGATTTTGTTTGCTTCTGATTCTTGTGCAGAAGAGTGAAACGAGTCCCGACAGAGGGACCCAAATGGAGGAGAAAAAGATTGAAGTAATTAGTGTTGATCAGTTAGTAGACCTTAATGTGGAGAAGCAAAGGCTTCAAACCTCAAGTGCTAGCAAAACCAATACACAGCCGCAACAGAGCCTGAAGGAGCCGAAAAATCAATGTAAATTCGCATATCGAAATTCCTAATCTCAAAGTTGATCTTTTGAGATTCTTTTTTTGTCTATCTAACTGTATGTGTAATCTTTCGAAATTCCTAATCTCAAAAGTTGATATCTTGAGATTTTTATTTTTTCGCCTAGCTAACTTTATATGTAATCTGCTGTTCTCTTCACAGCTCCAACTTCTTTCGTGCCTTTCTCGATTGGTATAGGTAGCTGGCATGGTGTTCTTCCTCATCCTGGGTGTGTATTATAGTTTTTTCCTTTCATCTTCTGTTCGATCTTTAAACGCAACACTACCACAAGTTATTTCGTGTGTAGGTATGTGCTGTCCCATCAAGAAAATTTACCAGTAGAAGGAAGTTCAAAGTCTTCAATCACAACTCAGGTACATTTTTTTTTTTCATAAATATTATTCATTTGTTTCCGTTTTTTAATTTTCGAATGAATTTGGCGAAAATATGCAGGCCCCAGAGTTTAAATTTTCAAAGCCTCGACCCAAGAGAAGCGCAACACATAGATACATTGCCGAGAACATTCATTCTCACCAACAGCTTGTCCAGAAATCTCTATCATCTGGTTCGACTAATGTGGGCACTACTTTGTATGGGACCCAATCATCAAACTTAAAGTCGATGTTACCTATACAGAGGTTCGCCATTGGGAATCCACTGGTGGGAGACTCTGAACGAGGGCAGAATTTGGCGGGTGAGACAATCGTGAAGCTTTTGCCTCAACAAACTTCAAGTCAAGCTCAACTTCAAGCTCGTAACTTTTTGGTAAGCGTAAGGCTTTTCATATTCTAGTTATTGAAAAATTCGTTCACTGACGTTAAATAATTAGATAACTACCAAAACTGCTCCTGAGGTATCGTCTGGAAGAGAAAAAGAGAACCATAGTTGTCTTTCAAAAGGAAAAAAAAAACAAGAAAAAAAAAAGAAAGAAAAATACCTTTTCTCTACCGAGATTTACCAAACTGGAGCTTTTTTATAAGTACGCTAGAACTTGAGGTAAGATCTCGTAAGTTATACCGGGAAAAAAAAATATTCAAAAGCTTATGATTCGTAATCATGGTGATTGCAGCACAACCCAGGTTTCACATTCCCACCCAACTTGTCAGGACCTTCTCATTTTGCTTTGCCCTCGAATTCATCAACAAATAAACCTCCGGCAAACTCATCCCATGCAGAGGCATCAAATGCAGGCACATTTAATCGCCAGTTTTTCCCTTTCAACGAAGCAATGCTACAGAACAACGGCTGCCAGTTTCCTAATCTGCCGAACATAACTCTACCTTCTTTCAAAGGTGAATCATCCATTTTAAACCCGTCCATTTATTCCCTGCCGGTTTTCAATATTCCCCCATATCAGCACCTGTTGTCCACCTTCAATACGAAAACCGTTGAAAATCGAACACTGCAAATGGAGAAGAACAACAATGGTGCCTCTGCTAGTGATGGCTCAGCTTCTCAACATCCAAAGCCTAAAAAAAACAACAATAACAACAACAGTGCCCAGATTTATCCATTTCCAATCCAACCAATGAGCTTCGGCCACGTTGGTAACAAACAGCCAAATGCCGCTTCAGCTCCAGTGATTAGCTTCTCCACCATGCCGCAAAACTCCTCCATCTTCCAGATGCTTCCGGAACTATCCTGGAACGGTGGTGGTAACAAGAACTTCCCTTCATCCGAGGAAAAATCTCGAAACGCAGCGTCTTCCAAATTCGAAAATTCGGGTAAAAATGCCGGTTCTCATCCGTCCCATTTAAGTCCCCTCCCAATTCCGAATTACTCGCCCTTGCTTCCGAAATGGGAGAACTTTCCTAGAACAGCGAAACTTCCGGAAGGCTCGTCTCAATTTTCCGCACGAAACATTCCTCAACCGAAAAACCCGCAAGTCCAGGTTCAGGTTCAGGGTCATGTTTCTTACGGTAATAGTCCGGTTTTAGTTCAGGGGCAGCTTTCGAATCCTACAAACACTAAGACCAGCAGCAATCAAAGAGTCAATACAGTGAAAAGCTGAAAGAAAATCAGGTGAGATAGGAATTATATTGAAGTTAGGTTTTTTTTTTTTTTTNGTTTTTTTTTTTTTTTAATGGTTTTATCTGAGAATTTTGGTGGATATTATTTATGAAATGGCTGTGTACCTCCCATTTGGGTTGTTTTTTCTTTTTCTTTTTTCCAAAGTGACACACTGATTGATGTTGTGTGTATAGAGACTAATCTATGTTATAAATCATAGAATTACATTCTTTCATGGACTTCATTTCCGGTTTAATTACATTATTTTCTTTTGAATTGTTTCTTTTGTCATTACTTAGTAGGCAGAACTATCAATTATGGCTTTGTTGAATTGTATAGCAGTTATTATCTATTTGTTTTGTTTTGTTTTGGCAGCTTTTTTTCTATATTTTCTGAGTTAGGCGTCTCCCTCTAACTTTTTTTGTTGAAAAGGAAAAAGAAAAAAACTTGTGACAAAGAGTTAAAATAGGTTTCATGATACAATTTCTTGACTATTGAAGTCTCTACTTGAATCCTTACATTGGAATTCCCGCATAAATGTGTGTACATCTTTGTAGTGTAGGGTCGAAATATCCTTATATCCAAAGTTCCAACTCATAAATATTAAAAGACTAAAAGCCGAAGTTAAAAAGCCGTCATTTTACCGATAATATCATGAGGAATGGAATATGCAAACGAGGCTAAAAGTATTAATATCAATCATGATTCATGATGAGAGTGTATTGTAGGCATGATTAAATGGGGCCACTAAATCTGCAAAAATATCACTATTTGTAATTATCGTGTGAGCCGTGTGCAGGCAGTGTGACCACAAACCACGTCCAAATTAATTGCATGTTTGTATAAAAAATTTATAAGTAGATTTTTTTCGTTAACTATAGTTAATTTAGAAAAAAAATGTATAATTAGTTTTTAGTGGAATTTTAAATTTATATTAAAAATTTTAAAATAAAATAATTAAAATTGATTTGGTGTAAAAATATGAGAGAGATGATATGAAGTGATGGTTAGTTAAAATTATGTGAATAGATTAATAGTGAATTAAAGTATATGAGATGTGCAAGAATGATTGAATGATATTATTTAATTATATTGATAATATTGAAAATTATTGAAGTTGATTTAAAGTTGAGAGATTTTGAGTTGAATGAAATTTTAATTGAAAATTTTTGTATACAAACATGTCCCTTGGGGTATTTTCTAGGCCACTCGACACAATAGTATTGATTTAGTATTACGTGTAGAGTAAAGCTACCTTGTTTGATTAATTCGAGAAATGTTCATTCAAAATTATTCAAGGAAAACAAAAAATAATACATATAAATAAAATAAAATATATTAAATTAATTTTATAAACATTAATTTACGATTAACTAAGGGGTTCAATTTTTAGATTTAATAAACAATTTCATAAATAATTTTCTATTAACTTTCAAATCGTCAAAATTACTGATATATGATATTTCCTAAATAAAAAGATTTTATGACCCACTAAAGAACTAATATGATAATTAGTAATTATGTGTATTCTTCTACTTCCGATAATTGAGATCTGGTAGAACTCATTATATTATACTGATAATTTACAATTAATTAAGTAGCAAACTACATTATATTATATACGGCTTAATTTACAATTAATTAAGAAGCAAACTACGTAGTTTCAAATTACAATTAATTAAGTAGCAAACTACATTATATTATATACTGATTAATTTACAATTAATTAAGAAGCAAACTACGTAGTTTCAAATTATAAATTAATAAATGCAATTAAAATTATGAACTCATTATGCCACCATGAATTAATACATTATATTAGTTTTAGTGGCTGGAATCTCGTTTTTTCAATTGAATGGAAAAATGCTACAATTTCGTAACGAAATCATCATTTTATATAAAATTCTAATAATAAATTGTCACATCACTTTTATTTCAAAAATTCTATGGCGCCCATATGGGCACCATATGGTGCCATAATCTCACGATCCAACGCCTAATATCCATTCTATCAATTTTCACAATGAATATTAGGCGTTAGATTGTGAAGATTATGGTACCATATGGTGCCCATATGGGCGCCATAGAATTTTTGCTTTTATTTGACCACATACAGGAGTTCATGTCAAAATTAAATGATCTAGTGACTTTTATTTAACATAATAACTTATATTGAATAGAGTGAACTATTTCACCGCGGGGTTGTGGTCTTTCCCGTGTTTATGATTACTAGTGCGTGGCCCGTGCGATGCACGGGAAAACAATATTACGATTCTATTATAAATAAAATATATAAATAACATTAATCATAATTTATCTATTATTTTTAAATTGAACCGGGTTCGACACAATCCGACTGAATATACCGAGAACGGGTTTATAACCAGTCAGTTCGCTTGAATAAAATATTTGTTATTGAATTCGTCAACACCAGTCGGTTGAACTGGTAGGATTGATACGATTTCTAAATAAAATTTGCTATATTTAAATAAAATTACACATTTAAATAAAATAGAGATTTATAAATTATCTATCAATTAGTTTAAATATTTTAATTTATAAATTGTTTAGATATTTAAGTAACACATTTTATTTAAAGTTATTACAAAACTGCTATTTATATATTTATTAAAACGTTTATAGATTAAAATCTGAACAAACCACAAATGATTTAATAAAATAACTTAATCGATTCGATGACGGTCCGGTTCTGAAAAACTTATATTTACTGTACGTTAACAAACATCATAATAATATATTATTTAATTCACATAAATTAATAAAATGATATATAAATATTCATAAATCATTAAACATGTTGTCATAAAAGTATTGTTAATACGATTATTTGAAGTTTGGACTACATCACATTCACGTAATAAAGTATTTTCAATATTTAAATTTATATTTAGGTTCAATAATCGATTTGGTCTGGTCTAACTGATACATAACTTAGACACTTGAGACCAACCAAGTTGTGCCAAGTTTTTTGACTATTTTAAATATCACCTAAAATTAATTCAATCAACCCTAATTCAATCACCCGATTGATCCAAAGAAATTTCCTTATTTCCTTTAAATATATTTAATTTTATGAAATAAAAATATTTTATGATTCATATAATAAATGTCTACCAAATGATATTAATTATAAATTATATATCTAAAGATGAATTAATTATTTTTATTTTATGCATATTAATAAAAAATAAATATAGTAATTTTCAAAAAAATAAGCTTAATTTATTGATTAAGCAATTTAAAGAATCTTTTTAGCATTCAATATTTTTTTAAAGGAACAAATATAAAGACCGAGATTCTAAAACTTTTGTTATATTTTCAATTGAGATTTCATAAATATAAAGACCGATATTTTAATGTTATTCGTTGTTTCTAAGAAAAAATTAAAAATAAAAACATGCACACATAATAAATCTTCGCCGGAATTTTAAATAATAAAATTAACTAAAGCCCAAAATTTAAGGTAACATTTAATGTTGTATAATTTTTAAAGAACAAAATAAGAAAAATAATAAAACTTACTATTTATAGGCTACATTAAATTTTGACCCATTGTTTTCAATACCGTACCTTACCGGTAATACCGGATACCGGCTATTGGTACGGTAAAATTGTACACAGAATACCGGATTTACGGTTATACCGGTTTGTATCGGAGTCATACCGTAAATACCGGAAAAAACCGGTCCAAAATACCGGTCATCAAAAAATAAATAAATAAATAAATAGAAAAAAATTTATTAATTTAAAGTTATAAAATTTAAATTGGTAGTTGGAATATTTTATTTTTATCTCATTGGTAAGTTAAATTAATGATTATGGTCATTTATTTTTTTACTTTTTTGCATTTGGTATTATACATTTTTATATATAAATATATATATCATTATATTAGTTAGTCCGTAATACCACCGATATTACCGATCCGACCGGTAATACCGCGTATCGATGGCTAGACCGGTATAGCACACCGGTACAGTATTTAAAACACTGTTTTGACCTATTTGTTTGCTACTATATATAGTAAATAGTAATTCTTATTATATATATATATATAGATTCTATTCGAAAATTAAGTTATTTATATTGAGTTCCATATGCTAATACATATAATACGTAATCAATCGTGGCATTGGAAAATATATAATGGATTAAACCTAAAATATAAATTTTTTATATTTTTTGTAATAATATTTTATTATTTTGAATAATACATATTTTCAATTAAACAAATTGTAAAAATTTTGAAAATCAAACTCAGTATTTCCAAAAATATTGAATGTTATTTATGAAGAAATGTGAATCACAATCATGATTTCTTATAAAGATAAATTTAAAGTTCAATTATTATAGTGGCACTAATAACTAACTAATGAGTTATAAAATATGTATACATATTTTTTCAATTTACTCATCAGTATCTTCATGATCTATATTAATTTTTATATATTGTTTATCCAACAGGTAATGTTCTATATATTTATATTGGTTCGAGTTCAAATAAAAAACTGAAAGGTCAAAAAATAAATATGATAATTTGAATTAGAAGTAAACAACTTGGTGCCATTAAATCACTTTATTAATTTGTATAACTAATTTTTAATTTGGTGATAAATTTTAAGGGAGTATTGTAATTATTATTCCCAATGCATTGAACCCAAAAATTTCATCATAAGTAATATAGTTTATTTATTATACTTAAATGCAAGCAATTAATACATATAGTTTATTTATTAGAAAAATATTGTTAAGGACAACTTAATTATAGCAATTAATACATATCTTAGGCGGGAAAACAGCCTTGAGCCAGCTGCTTTGCTTTAATATGTATATAGATTATATATAAACTTAATTATTCTAGTTAAATAAATAATTATACTCGTTGCCCGACGTCTTCTTGAGTGTTTGTTGCGTTTTCATGATATATCATACTTATAAATTGACAAAATTTATTTCTAGATAAAAATGTAGTTTTGAGCTTCTTCTTTTTTTTTTTTTTTCCAAGGTACTTAGCTTATATGCATGTGTGTGTGTGTGCTTATGTGTGCATGTGTATATATTATGACATATACAATGTACATTTTGAGGCATTGTATAAATTTTCTCATATCCAAATAGTTACGTTACTCATAAAGGAAGAAAATGAAACAATAATTAATAAAAAATTAAAATGCAAATTCACACTATGTAATTATTTATACAATATGTGCAACAAATAATTATATTTTGTCGTTTGAATTATTTACATAGGAATTAGCAAATTATTTTTCAAACTTTTGTTTCATAAGAATTAGAGTGAAAGTTCCAATGCATAACTATTTATTTGTAGCAAATGATTATAATTATATTTTAATGTCATGATACATAAAAGTTGAAAAAATTTATTTCTAGGTAATTAATGAATGTTTGGAGAGAAAAAAAAAATATCTCCAAGCTACTTATATAGTTTTTTATTACACAAATTATCTACAAAATTTAATGTGTATTCAACATGTACTTATAAATATCAATTACTTTATGACTTACAATTACAATTTAACATTTCCAATGTGACAAATTAATTATCCCTTCTTATTTTCAATAATCATAGGCAATTACCCAAAATTGCAATCAATACATAATTTAATTAATAACTACAATACATATTCCAAGTTTAGACAATATCTAAAATAACGTGAAAATAAATTATCCTAGAATTAATACAATAATTAATGTAAATTTGAGCGGGAATTTGGCAGCTGCTCCGCTTTAATATATATATAGATTTTGTATTTGCAAGAAGGTGTAAATTTATGTAATCCTTAAAAAAAAAATCATATTATACTTATATTTACATATAATTTTTGAATATTTTAGTGATATTTATTACAACAAAATAACAATTATTAATAATGTCTTAAATAGATGTTAAAAGTCATTTTGGAAACACCTGGAAGATACTCCCAGCTCCGATGGCCATGGCGAACAACAGCACCACGGCCAACAGCCACCCAGCGCCGCCGTACCGCCCCTACCGCCTCAAGAAGATCCTCACCGGCCACACACGCGCCGTGTCCAGCGTGAAATTCTCCAACAGCGGCGCGCTCTTCGCCTCCGCCTCCCTCGACAAAACCCTAATCGTGTACTCCACCGAGACCCTCTCCCAAATCTCCCGCCTTATCGGCCACGCCGAGGGCGTCTCCGACCTCGCCTGGTCCTCCGACTCCACCTACGTCTGCTCCGCCTCCGACGATCGTACGATCCGGATCTGGGACGCACGCGCCGCCGAGTGCGTGAAGACGCTCAAGGGCCACACCGACATGGTCTTCTGCGTGAATTTCAACCCGCAGTCGAATCTAATCGTCTCCGGGTCCTTCGACGAGACGGTTAGGGTTTGGGACGTCAAGACAGGGAAAGCCGTCCACGTGATTCGGGCCCACGCGATGCCGGTGACCTCGGTGCATTTCAACCGGGACGGCTCGCTGATCGTGTCCGGAAGCCACGACGGGTCGTGCAAGATCTGGGACACGGCCACCGGGACATTGCTGAAGACGATGATCGAGGATAAGGTGCCGGCCGTGTCATTTGCTAAATTCTCGCCCAACGGCAAGTTCATTCTGGTGGCCACACTGGACGATACACTCGTGAGTTTCCTTTTTCTTTTTTCGCGCTTTACTATTTGTTTGTTCTGTTCGGGCCTCAATGCTGTTATTGTTGATTGATTATAATTGTCTTTGTTGGTTTTGATTGGATTTTGCTGTGCAAGCTTAGTTGACTTGTGAGTGTATATGAACTTGGATTGATTAGATGTGTTTTGAGATTGTCTGTGAATGCTAAGGCTGAGATAGTTACAGTGTAATTGCTGTCAGGTGGAGCATTACGTAGTGGAGATAACAAATTATCTGTATCGATATTTTGCTGTTTGGTAATCGAAAAGTTCTACGGTAAAATGGTGCCTTTCTAGTGTCATTTAACTGTACTATTGTGGCTTCATTGGTATATGCCNAAAAAAAAAAAAAAAAAAAACTGCACAGATGAGTGTGTAAGTATGTGTGATCGAACGGTTAGAATCCTGTGGGACATCGAATTTACATTTTTGCACGAGTATCTTGCAGAGTGTATGTAAAGCAAGTATAAGGGGACTTTGCAATATTTGAGGTTTGTGTAATATTTTGGTGGCAATAATGGGATTTTTATATGTCTATTCGAAATATACAGAATGGGTTCCTTTTTTCTTTTGTGGTCCATGTGAGTTTATGTCAAGTTGTTTATGGTTCTTTGTCGATTTGCAGAAGCTATGGAACTACTCGGCTGGGAAGTTCTTGAAGATATATACAGGCCATGCGAACAAAAGCTTCTGCATAACCCCAACATTCTCCGTGTCTGGTGAGAAGTACATAGTGAGTGGTTCAGAGGATAAACTTGTGTATATTTGGGATTTACAAGGTAAAAATCTTGTACAGAAACTCGAAGGGCACACGGATACTGTTGTTTCTGTAACGTGTCATCCCACTTTGAACATGATTGTTTCTGCCGGGCTTGATAATGACCGGACGGTAAGAGTCTGGGTTCAAGATTAGTTTTTTTTATGTGTCGAGTTTGTGAATGGGTCTCGTTTATTTCCTTTTGATTTTTCAGGGGAGCAAGAGGTTTCGGTTTTGTAGAGTTGAGTTGAGTTTGTGTATTAGTTTTTGGAAGGCAATTACTGAACTACTAATTACATCATTACATGTATGGTTATAGATTTGAAAAGCTCTTAACCAACAGGTTTGTTATTGCAGATGTTTGTATACTTTCTTGACCAACAGTAAAATCCGTACGAATTGTCTCATAGTGTAATGTGGTTGTGTGTTGATCTAATGGTAAAATCCCTAGTGCTTTTAAATTAAATGAGCTTGGCTCGGCTCGTTTGATGAGCAAGTCGAGCTCGGCTCGGTTCGATAAGGCTCGTTAAAGTTCGAAAAGAGAATTTTTATATAATTTTCTATAGTTCGGCTAGTTAAAGCTTGAGATCGACTTGTAAAGGCTCGAACTCGGCTTATTATTTAGTGATAAACGAGTTTGAGCTTGAGCTCCATTTGAGACTCGTTAAGTGCTCGAGTTCGAGCTCGACTCGCCTAAAAATCCCTAGTGGGAGATACAAATTTTCCAAAAATGTGGTGCCTTTTCCTTAACAAGTTTTGACTTGTTTGTCTGTGTTGGTTATTACTCAGGGGAGGGGATGACTGTTACAGGATGGTTCTGTTAGTGCTCTCCACCGTTGGATACACTTTTAAATTATGTAGTGTAGACAATTTACGATAACAAACACCGACGGAAATAATTCAGAAGAAAAAAAATCCACAGAAAAAATGACATCCTTTTATCAATTGAAACATAAAGTTAACCC